CTAAAAGTAGCAAACATCTGGCTAAAAGTAGCAAAAGGCTGGCTAAATGAAGAAAATGTCTGACTAAAAGTAGTAAACGGCTTGCTAAAAGTAGCAAACGGCTTGCTAAAAGTAGCAAACGGCTTGCTAAAAGTAGCAAACGGCTGGCTAAAAGTAGCAAACAGCTAAAAGTAGTAAACGGCTGGCTAAAAGTAGCAAAAGGTTGGCTAAAAGTAGCAAACGGCTGGCTAAAAGTAGCAAACAGCTAAAAGCAGTAAACGGCTGGCTAAAAGTAGCAAAAGGTTGGCTGAAATTAGCAAACATCTTGCTGAAAGTAGCAAAAAGTTGGCTAAAATTAGCAAACGCCTGGTTAAAAGTAGCAAAAGGTGAGATAAAGTGGCAAAAGCTTGGCTAAAACTATCAAAAGGCAGGCTAAAAGTAACAAAATATTTTTAAAAAGTAGCAAAATGCTGGCAAAAAATAGCTAAAGGCTGGCAAAAAGTAGCTAAAGTCTAGCTAAAAGTAGCAAACGGCTGGCTAAAAGTAGCAAACGGCTAGATAAACGTGGCAAAAGGTTGGCTAAAACTAGTCAAAGGCAGGCTAAAAGTAGCTAAAGGCTGGCTAAAAGTAGCTAAAGGCTGGCTAAAAGTAGCTAAAGGCTGGCTAAAATAGCAAAAGTCTCATTAAAAGTAGGGGGAAAATAGTTAAAAGTGGCCAAAGTTGACTAAAAGTAGCTACAGGCTTGCTAAAAATGGCAAAATGCTGACTAAACATTGTAAAAAAAAATAAAACTGGCTATAAGCTAAAAACAGCAAAAGGCTGGTTTAAAATGGTAAAGACTGAGTAGAAGCTAAAAGTACACTTCTATAAGCTAAAGTAGCAAATGGCAGTCTATAAACAAAAAGTAGCTGAAGGTCAGCTTATATCAGCAGAAGGCTGGATATGAGCTGAAAGTAGGCCAGATAAGCTAAAAGTAGACGAAGGTTGACAATAAGCTTGCAGACCAGTAGCTAAAAACTAAAAGCATTAACACAAAAGAAAAAGAGCCAGAACACTAAAGCAGATTTAAAAGGGAAGAGTTTGTGAAGGAATCTTAAACATCTCCATTTCTTTTCCATGTCTCATCAATATGAAATCTGTCAAATAAAACCAGAATAATTTGGAACCAGTAAGTCACAGCACCCACCGAACGTTTTGACATATGAATTCATAAAATAAAAAATATAATAAAATATGATAAAAACAGGGAAACGATGTGATGCTGAATCGACATTAATGTGATTTATGAGGCTGCACGTGATTATATCATCAACAGTTGCCGCCTCCTCCCTCCTCTTCCGCTCCCCCCTCCTCCTCCCCCTCCTCCTCTCTCGGAGTCGACCTGCTGGCTGTTTTTCCGCCTGTCTGCTGGAGTGAGCGAACCTCCTGCAGACGTCTTCTCCTCTCCGGAGCCTCCTGCCGGACCTCCTCCTCAGCTCCTTCCTGCTTGTCGGTGCTTTTCTCCGGTGAACGGCGCGTTGTGCGGGAGCCGAGGTGCGGGGGACTACCTGTTAGCAGGTGCGGGCTCCGCTTCATCCAGCCGCGCCGCCGCTGCTCCTTCTGACCTACTTGTGTCCAAGTTGGGAGAGGAAACATTGCGGTGTCTGCCGGTGAGGACGATGTAAGGAGGTGTGGAGGCGGTGGTGACCCGGAGGGGAGCGCTCCAGTAAAATAAGCAACCAACCAGGAGAGGAGCAGTGATGCGCGCGCCTCCTCACCTGGACCCCGGGCTGGTGCTGATGCTGCTGCTGGCCTGCTGCTGCCGGACTCCGGGGATGGTCGGTGCAAGTAGGTGCTCACACTTACGCTTTGACAGAACATTTGCAGGCTGCCACTTAAATAAAAATGCACAATTTGAGGAAATATGGCAATATCCACATGTTGTATTCATTGATTACGCTCAGTCTAAACCAGGTGAGTGCAGTCATTTGGTTCGAACATCTCTTTGTGTCCTGTAAAATGGTATGATGCTTGAACCCACACTGCATGCTGAAATCAAAAGCAGACAAATAAATAAAAGTTAAAACGCCCAACTTTTCAATAGTGTGAGAAAAATGAGGCTTGATATTAGCGGGGATATCAATAAATATACTAATGGCAGCTGTGGCTAAGTAGTTAAGGCGGTTGTCCTCCAGTGGGAGAGTTGGGGATTCGATTCCACCAGCAGCCACATGTTGGTGTCCCTGGGCAAGACACTGAACCCCCTTACTGCCTCTGATGTGTGTCCCATCGAATCAGTGGTATAGATACTCGGGTATACGGAGTATATCCACTAGAAAAGCTTAAGAGTTTCAGTGTACCCCTTAAAAGTGCCCAATGATACGTGATCATTAGACACGTGTCACTGAGGCGTTAAACGCTTCGGTAACAATCAATCGTTATGCAATGTTTTGCTTTAATACCGTTTTATAAATTCTGTAACATGTTTTGATTACAAAGCCAACAGTTGTACAAAGTTTGTCGTTCATTTATTCAAATATAAACATCAAGAGAAATTTGGAAATGTTCAATACGCTTAAAAATCCAAACAAATTGATGATTACGTTGTGTAACTAGCCGGTGTACTTTGGTTTTTAAGCACAGTATACCCACTACAAAAAGGTAGACTACACCACTGGTATGAATGTGAGTGGTTCCCAACCGTGGTCCTTGGGGAACTCCGTCCTGCACGTTTGAGTTGTTTCCCTGTTTTGCCACATCCGATTCGAATGAACGGGTGATTAGCAGGCTTCTGCAGAACCTGATGAAGTAATTAAATCACTGAATCAGGTGTGTTAGAGTGGGGAAACGTCTAACCCATGCAGGGTGGTGTTCCTTAAGGACCAGGGTTGGGAACCACTGATCTAAAGCACCGATTAGTCTCTACAGATTCAGATTATCTTTGGAGAGATCTAGTAGAGTTGCTGTATGAATGTGGGTGTGGTGGTAAATGAAGGCACATATTGTGCTGTAAAGAGCTTTGAGTGCCTTGATTAGATAGAAAGATGCTACAAGTACAGTCTAGTTACCATAGTACTCTTCAAAGCATTGCAACTGCTTGCCATACCCGCACCTCTGCTGCAGCTGTGTGATCAGTGGCAGAGTTTTCTCCACACAGCTGATTAAAGCAAACAGGAAATCCAACCATGTTCTGTTTGGTGTGTAGTATTTAGATCATATAAACGTATATTGCTTATGGTATGGGTTATGGTTATAGAAAGGTGCACCCTCTCTGGGAGCCTTCATCACCTGTAAGTTACGTATTCATCATCAGTTCACTTTACAAAACGTCTGTACCAAACTGTCGCAGTACAATTACATGTACCACTAAACCCCTAGCCTCCCTGATATTACGATGATAAAATATTAATATATTGTGCAGCCCTGATGCAAATGAAGCTACTGCCCAAAATCCCAACATCAGCTTAGTTTCTAATGGTCTACTGACGAAGATTATGTATTTTATAATAATTTAATGTTTTTTTTACGAGTTTTCGTTTGTGTCTTTTGGAGCGTTTGTCAAAATTGAATGGTTCACAAGTCAGGGTCAAAAGAACAATTTAGATCTGAGATGGTTTCTGTGGAAATTAATGAATATTTTTTCCTGTTTATGTTGAACATGAGATGAACCTAAAACAGTGGCATGAAAGGCTACAGGTGATATGCAGACCTTTAGTTTGATTAGGGTAAAAAAAAATATTGAATGAGGTCAGGTATTGGACTAAAATGTGGGAAAGCTGTTGGATATGAGTCTCGGCTACTACCACGCTAAAGTTTAGCTCAGACGTTGGCTGAGTTACAACCATTTGTGTCGGCTAACGTTGATTAACTGTATTAATTTAAATCAGGTGGACTCCAGAAGTTAACCAGTCGTAGACGTGCATCTAATGAACGGGAAAAGATCAAATCTTTCATGGCCGTGGGCGGTAATGACAGCTAGATTGAGTCTTTTGCATGTTTGCTGTGGATATTTGATCTGAGGAAGTGTTTTTGTCCTCTGTAGAGCCGTAGCATCAATGGGTAATTAAATCATTACCACTAACGAGTAACTGTGCTCCTGGCGTTCGTTTTATTTTGACACTTTCCACCTACCAGAAAATATTTCAAGACCAGTCACAGCACAGTTTTCCTGCCGCAACCCACCCACCCTCTGTAAATACTTATGGATGTAATGTTCTTACAACCCTAAACACAAAAACGTTGGGTTACGTTGCGTAAAATACAAAGTGAACACAATTTAAAAGTCCCATTAATCCCGTTGGATAAAATATACTTTCATTATCTACTTACTTACTTGGAGAAAATGGTTTTCACTCAATTAAACGAGTTCTTGAGTGGAAATTCTATTCTTGAGATCTTTCAGTCTGGCTTTAAGAAATTGCACAGCACTGAAACAGCCTTAGTTAGGGTCTGCAACGACATTCTTCTGGCAATTGACTCTGGTCAGTCTGTAGTCCTGGTACTCCTTGACCTTACCGCTGCATTTGATACTGTGGACCACAGTATCCTTTTATCTCGGCTAGAACACTGGGTTGGGATTACTGGTGCAGCGTTAGAATGGTTCCAACATACATGGTACTACCAGGAACTCGCAGGTTTGAGTACATTACTCCAGTTCTGTCCTCTCTTCACTGGCTTCGATTCTTCTGCTGACATTTAAGTGTGTTAATGGCCTTGCACCCTCATACCTCTCTGACCTCCTTCATCCTTATACTCCTTCTTGGGCCGTGAGATCATCAGACCAGCTGCTTTTGGCCGTACCAAAAACCAGGCTGAAGCTCAGAGGAGATCGGGCGTTTTCAGTCATGGGCCCTAAACTCTGGAATAATCTGCCCATCAATATTCGACAGGCCACCTCAGTCTCTATTTTTAAATCTCTCCTCAAAACACACCTGTACTCATCGGCATTTAACACGGTGTGATCTCATTTGGTATTTCGTTGTTGATGATTGTGTTCATCCATTTTGCTTTTACTCCCTGACATTTTAACACAGAGTGATTTGATTTAGTACTTCATTGTTTCTCATTATATTTAATGTTTTCATGCTTTTATTGCTGTAATATGTTATTATTAATATTTGATGCTGTGCTCTTTTTTGGTAAGCACTTTGATAACAGTTACTGTTTTAAATGTGCTATATAAATAAATGTGACTTGACTTGACTCAGCTAAAAAGAGTCACACACGAACACAGGAGATTTTTTAACCCAGTTTACTTGTAAGGGCAGAGTTCACTCTAGCTTATAATAATGTTTCATTGAAGCCCCGGTTCCGAAGATCTACCCCGGACAGTTTGCAGGAAGTGTTTTTATAATGCTTATCAGCACGATGACCTCGACCTCTTAGACTCGGAGGCGTCAGGTGCCTGCAGGCTCTTCTCTGAGACAGAAAAATAACTCTTTGACCTCGCACACATTAATTTAACATTAGCAGTGATAAACATCCATAAACCTTTACCTTAATTCTCATGACAAATCCATATTTTATTCACAGTAGAAAATATTGAACGTATCAAATACTTAAGAAGTTTTACCCTTTTTTTTTTTTTTTTTTTTTTAATAAGCTGATTTTAAATGTTCTGGAAGCAACACATCTCAAAAGTAGTTCCCAGCTGTTTCCTCTGTGAAGGTCTATTTTTCATTTTTATAAAACGTCAAATGTTTTCAATCTGTGAGCGGTCCGGACTGGATTATTCTATAATCTGTTATATATTCTATATTATATTCTGACACAGTGTGTGGTAGACTAGAAAGTGTGGACATTTTTTTTTCATGCAGTTACGCACCAAGTGAGACTGTTGTGTTCATATTAGGCTGAGCAAATGATGTCTGCGCTGAAATCTGCCTGTGCGCTTGTTCAAGTTGGCGCAAAGTATGGCAAGTTGTTTCACCATATAATCACACCACACTCCTGTAAAGGTACAACAACGGTACAAAGTTCTTTCGTTGCCATTTGTGCACAGACCAACAATCCAGGCACAACATGTGCAGAGCTCTCTCTGTCATAGTCAAAACACAAGACTAAATAAAATAAAAACAAGAATAAAGTAGTTTCTATCTACACTGTATAGAAAGTAAACCATGTCACATGACAAGTGAAGTTAGGCAGTGTGGGGTTATTATTGCGCCTGATCAGTAGTTTTGTTTTGCCATCAGACTGTGGCATGGAAAAAACTATTAAAAAACCTTGTACTATGGGTGATGACTACTGTGTCTCAGGTTATTGATTGGTGAATTCTGGGCTTGATTACTTAGTGATACTATGAGTTTACAGTATCTAATGTTTAATATTGTAAAGAAATATCTGCTGTTACTGAACACATGGGGCTATGAGAATAATTTCTATAGGAACAGTTATACAACAACGGAAATAATACCAATAACTGTTGGTTACCATAATGAAAACAATATAAAAAAAAGTCATTATTTTTTATACTAGACATTTGTAAAACATACCCAGTACATTTAAAAGTCAAATCAAACACTTTTTGAGGGTTTCTAGACACGTTCAACCAATATTTTTCTAGGACCGAGGGTCTTTAATTGTATTTCTATTAATGTGATTGCAAATATCCATCCATCCATTATCTTAACTCGCGTCTTCGTTTTCGGATCACAGGGGTCACTGGTGCCCAATGTCCAGCAGTCACTGTGTGAGAGGCGGCGGGACACCCTGGACAGGTCTCCAGTCCATCACAGGGACACATAGAGACAAACAAGACAACCAGTCACTCTCTCACTCTCACCTAGGGACAATTTAGAGTTACCAATCAGCCTAACATGCATGTTTTTCGTATGTGGGTGGAAACC